CCCGGGCAACCCGGGTTCAATCCCCGCCGGCACCAATGAAATTGTTAATTGCAATTTTAAGTGCTGATTTACCACGTGCTCGGCGGTGGAGGAAAACATCGAGAGCAAACCTAAATGTCTGAGAAATAAGAAAAAAAAATTCGCAGACATGTGAAGTTCGCCAACACGCATTGGGGCAGCGCAGCGGACATTTCCTTGCCCTAATACCCCCTCAGAAAATAGGAGAGGCCTGTGCCCAGCAGTGGGGCGTATATATGCTGTAACATTATTTTTTAACTAAATTATTAAGTATTTATAAGGTTAGCCTGATAATACCAATGTTAAATCAGTTCGACCTGATCCTTCTCTTCTCTTCTATGTTACTCTGTGGTGTTATAAATGACTGCAACAATAAGGTACCGGACGATATTTTTGCACCCCTGTTGAATTTTCGTAGTCGTTCCTACGAAAAGAAGTCCTTTTCAAATTTCCTTTCACCTCTACCAATGGCGATAGGATTTTCTCATTATAAAGGTCCATGACATTTGACACAACATTTTCTTTTGTGCTTTTATTGCTGTATATTCAATATCAAAAAGTGATAGAATAGAATTCTATATATTTCTTCGAGTATAAATATTTATTGATTTTCGGAAGAAGTTAGCGGTTTACATGAGTTAATAAATGGATCTGGTTAGGTCAAATTTAGTTGTATATGTAATGTATGAGATATTTTGAATGTATGATATATAAAATACCTTTTCGCAACGGAAAAGATTTTTAATCTAAATAAATACTTTAACTTATATGACATTTTAATGCCATTGAATTCTTTCCACAAGCAACTTCTTGCATAAAGCTCTCGATAAATAACCGCTTATGAAAAATTTTCACAAGAGCTTCGAGCCTTTACATGGATTATTCGTTGCTTAAATTCGAACTCTCCTTGTTGTGAGGGTTCTCTTGGTTACTAATAATAATAATGTTTTTAAAAAAAAAGTTATTTCCATACGTTTGAATATTGATCCTGACAACGTACTTAACGGGAACCACAGGGTTTTTGTTACATGTTGTATATCAGTGATGGTGAACCTTATTATCTTTTTAAGTATTAGCTTTTAAGTTAATACTTTGAGTTGTATTTAAGTACTCTGTGGTTAATATCTTCCAATATTTTCTGGGGTTGTCGCCTTTATTTGTATATATTTTTTAACTTATTATAAGCCAGCTCTTGACCATAATCTCACCTGGTGATAAGTGGTGATGAAGACATAGATGGTAATTCGTCTTAGCGTAACAAAAGCCTATTCACTCTTGCCTTAAAGACGCCCAGATTGTATTCCGGCGAAAAGACATACGCTCGCAAATTATTCCACAACTCTGCTATACACGTTACGAAAGACTAAGCATACCGTTTGGTTCTAATGCCTGGAATATCGACAACAAAGAGGTGAAGACCCGTCAACCACCTGGTTGTCGGATGATAGAAAAGAGAGGGTGGAAATAAAGCATACAGTAAATATTATGAGTTGTGGTAACTCTGGGGCTAAACGCTCGCCGTAAATTTCACTGAATTCGAATATAATGGGTACAATGTTCCGTCAGAACCAATGTGATTCTTAATTTAAATTTCAAGTACTGATTTATCACGTACTTGACGTTGAACACCTAAAACATAAATGGCCACAGCGAAGCCCCGAACTTAATAGGATTGAGATGGCATGAACTGGTTGTATATCAGTTATTCAGGTACCCACATGTGTGATAGTGTCGAAACGGGTGCGCAGTTCTCAAGAAATAATAAAGAGGGACATACTAAACCATAAAACTACAAGGTGTAATTAGGTCTAGATGATGCCACAAGGGATATTAAAATTAGTTAAATTTCACTTAATTCAATAAAAAAAATTAATGCAGGGCACAGAGTAATAGGACAAAGTGCGAAGTTAGAATGTGTTAAAAAGGCACAAATGGCAATTCACAATGTTGTTTTAGTTAATTTAAGTTAGTAAAAGTTGGGTGTGACAGAAGAAGCACGAGAGTAAAATAAATGATATATGAATGAAGAGATTATGGAATGTAAGTAATGTGATGAATAGGGAAAGAGTGGCAAAACAAATTTAAGTTGCAGAAGAGAGTGACAAAGTCGGTGAGGGACGCTTTAGACGGAAATTGATTGACCAAATTGGCGGTGTATTGGAAGTGTGAAAAATTAAGAGTACCCTTAATTTCCAAGCATGTATGCGTAGTTTTATGAACGGGAAAGAAGAAAGAGAGGTGTGTCAGGAAAGTGCCAAGTGGAAGTCCGTAGTATCTGCTTAGCCTTCTAGGTGACGGGCATGTGTTTGATCAAGTAAATGAAAAGAAATATGCTTATGGAAAAACAGAAAGTAATGTTATATTGTCTTTATCACCGTTACCGTTACAGCTTATCAAAAGTCCACTGCTGAACATGTATCTTCCTCATAGCCTCAGAGAGAAGGTATTTGCCATAGTTGCCACACTTGACAGGGTTTTTAAGATTTTAGTTGTTATTAAAAACATGCTGCTGCCCATCTTCTAGTTTGTTTCCCTCTGTCGTCTCTTATGACACTCACGGGACGATATGTGTAAATAGAAATTCTCACATTAGTGGTAGTGGATATTCTTAATCTTCGATCTGTTGTGATTTGTTCGAGTCATAATATAAATCTAATATTATTGACTTTGGGTCCAGTAGTTATAGTATAGGAAGGCCAGAGTGCACCTCTGGATCACATTTGCAACTTACTTAAGTGTAAAATGTTACTTAAAAAATAAATTCCCGTTAAGTTTCTGACTGATTTTTTCCAAAACAGAAGGTTTTTTCAGAAGTAATAAACGTAGAAAAATGACTTTCATCAAATATTATTTTCCTGTATTGTGGTTTGGTCTTGTAGAAAGAATGAATGAGGAAAGAGTGACAAAACAAATTTATGTTGCAGAAGTGAACAGCAGAGTCGGGAAGGGACGCCCTAGGCGAAAGTATATCGACCAAATTGGCGATATATTGAAAATGGGCCAAATCAAGAGTACCTTTAACTGACCAGCGTGTATGCGTAGGTATATGGATGTGGAGGAAGCGAGAGAGGTGTGTCAGGATCGTGCCAAATGGAAGTCCATAGTCTCTGCCTACCCCTCTGGGTGACAGGCGTGAGTGTTTATGTTATGTTATTTTCTTACCTATGTTGAATTCGTGTGATAACGGCGTAAGTGAATCAATCTATTACCCCAATTCGTCCCGTGAGTGTCGTAAGAGCCGACTATGGAAAATGCCACCAAATCCAATGGCTTCCGATAGATGGCAGTATGACCACCTCGTTAACGTCAGACGTAATACACCTAGACCACAGATTAGATAAGCATTGATCACTAATAAAAATCTAAATACTCAACCCCATACAAAAGTTTTCTAAAAACTGTCGCCAATTCTTTTGACGTAATTCTAGTTGAAATAAATATACATTAATGTAAATTCAACCTTATAATAATTAAAAGCGCACCCAAATGTTCGAGCGGGCGCTCATTCGGTAAGGACATTTTTGTCACTGATTGTGTATTTAGTTTTTCATTAGTGATCGATGTAGATAAGTTATGCCAAGATTGACGATGTACAGCAGCGCCCGAGGTGCCACTTCATCTCTGTCCAGGAGTTTTGCAAGATTTAACTAAATTTTGCTGGTGACGGCATATGCATTATTTAATAATTAATACAAATTCGGAACCTTATAGTGACGGTATGAGAATATCAACTAACCTATATTACATCCCGTGGGTGTCGTAAGAGGTGATAGAGGGAAACAAATCAGGAAATGGGCCTGACTGAATGGAATGACCCTTGTCAAGCGTGGCAACTATGGCGCATATTCAGCAGTGAACTTTAATGGGCTGTAACGGTAACGGTAACAACGGGAAAATTTATTTTAAAAAATATTTTGATTACTCTTGAATATTCTAGAATAATTTAAATAATCTATAATACTCTTACTTAGACTTTTCTGTCGGGGAGTCCGTATGGGTGGGTACCATCGTCTTCGCTTATTTCTTTTATTTTTTGGGATAGGGTGACAAACGAGCACACAGTCCACCTGATGTTAAGTGGTTGCTGTGACCCATAAACATCTACATCTATCCTCAATAAAGAATCAAAATGCAGATGCCTTGTCACCCGTGAGGACTAAAATGAAATGCCTCTTTTCCAGGTAAAAGGGTCTTCGGTTCTCTACGCTAACCAGACGAAACACTATTCTGTGAGCGCGTGATCCTTCTCCAGTCGAGCCGACACATTCGTGTAACTCATATAGCTGCAGCATGTCTTTACCACATATAAATTTCTGCTGCAAAATTAGCAGTACTTGCACTTCTGTGTTCCGGTCTAAAAAGTATAGAAAACCAGTATAATGACATACTGTGAGGCATTCCATCTTAGTTGTAAGAAGTGACAACGAATCTGCGGCCTTCTTGCCATCAGGTAAACTGTAAAGTCCTATCTCACATTTTTTGAAAAAAAAAAAGTGATTTTTAGAGTATCATTATTATCATCATTACAGCTCTTCACATGTCCACTGCTGAACATAGGTCTCCTCCGAGGAACGCCACAAAGCACGGTCCTGAACCATCTGCATCCATCGACTTCGTGCATGTCTTAACAGGTTTTTTAGGTTATATTTGTCATCAAATATAGCGAATTTATGTTCGCTTATTTCTAATAAGAATTTACGTTCTCAACTTGCTTAATGGAAATATTGATATTGTAAACAGCATTGCTAATATTCTTAATAAAAGAATAACATTTAAATTATATCAGTCAATTCAATTTAAACGATAATAATTATTATTAAGTAAGGCACCGCTGAGCAGGTCTGATATTATGATATGAGTAATACTCACAGAATTTGGGTTCCTTTGATTTATGCCGATAACTGCAATGGTGACAAGGGAATAATGATGGAGCGTGATAGGTTTTGTAGATAGGATGTGTAGAAATAATAAAAAAATATATATCTTGAACAACTTTTAATGAGCTACATCTTTGGTCAAATCATTGGTTTAAATAGAACCAAACACATTTATTTGACATTCCACACAAATGTGTTGTCCGTTCGCAACAGCAACGTTCCTTAATTAAATTAGGAATGCATATTATATCTAATTAAATGCGGAATTAAAAATTATCCATAGTCAATACAAAGATTCATTTGAAATATCGCTAAATAAACTAATTTGAACTATTTCAAATTATGTAATTTTTCGTTTTAATAAACACATGTATTTTCATATTTTGCTAAGTTGAAATATTTATATTTACTATTGTTTATTTAATCATTAGATACAATAAACTACCTACTTAAGTTAATTCTTTTATTTACATAAATAATACAAACATTACAACAATGTTTATAGATAAACTTAACAGTAATTTACAATATACAAAAAGAAACAACAAAGCGAAAGACAATCGAGAAATAAAACTATGGCTATGCCAAACATATTTCTGAACGTAGAGTTGTAAAATAATATATTTGATCAATTTTCTTCTTTTAATTCGCTAACACATAACGGAGTGTTCCTTAACATAGAAACTAAATAAAATTTCATAATTATAATATTTACACAAACATCAATATTTTAGCACTAGAATACAATGATCGGCAGTCTTAAAACCCGCGTTTCCTTATCCGGTTATATATACAACCGGTTTTACGATCTTTATACACTCGTAAGTAATATCTTTATTTAGAATTGCTCTTCTGAGATCAACTTTCAAATGGAATTGAAAAAGTATTCTATTTTATTTTAGGAGCTAATTAAAAACAGTTTATTTTACTTCAGATCGTTAGCTACAGAAGCTTTGGCATATTTTTATACAACACATAGTCAAAAAACTGCAGTCCAACACACTTCTGTTGATCACTTTTTGAAAAACGATTGACCGACACTTAGTCCGCTTTACCTATCCGACTCTTGTCCAACGTATATTTACGTGAGTCATTGAACAGTATAGAGCGATTTTTTAGTTTTGATACTTGGCGTATGGGTGGGCCGTATCTCACATGCGATAATCTCAACTGGTCGCTGAAAGACCTAATGGTTTTAGGTGCGGGGGAGGGACGAAAGCTGCTGGAGATGAGCCAGACATGTTGTTATTTAGATCCCCTGAGCGGCTTGAACCGTTCATTAGGTTCATCGCGTTGCTCGTCTGTTAAAAGAAAAATATTTGTTATACTCAAGTAAGTGATGTAAAAAATTATTAGTAAGTAGTACCAATGACTGGGCACAAGCTTTCTCTCATTGGCTAAATCGATTTTGTAGCAGGAACGAATCTATCTTGTTGACGTAAATCGTGTTATACGTATACTTCATACATAAGGAAATACCACGTACTCTTAAGTACAGAATATTGGCGCGAAATAGCAGCATATTTAAGGTGTGTTTCGTATTGCGAGTGACGTGAACTGTAGATTTCTTTACTGGTAATGAGGCATTCCATATTGATCCTTCGAAATTGTTTATTCGTCATATATAAGCAATGTAGGACATTGAATACCAGATATAAATGACTACAATACAACAGGATTATCATAACATCAAAGTTAAAGGATAACTCAGAAATTTGTTATTTGTATATTTTCATAAAAATTATTATGCATTTATCTTTTATAAGTTATTATTGAAAAAAATAGTATATTTTTTTTAAATTCCTATGGCTTTTTTTATTTCATTAAGTTACATCCTCCAACTAAGTAGTATACTAGATATATTTACCGGAGGCGGGGAAAGATGAGTTGTCTGCCTCTTTAGATGCGCAAGTGGTGGTGGGTTGTACGCCATGTTCGCGAAAACCAGCCGTTCCTCATAGTCATACTCGCAGAGGATCTTATTTTCACAGAGATAGAAGCGATCACCCACGCAGAATCTGAGAACAAAAAAGTGGTGTAAAAATTACATTTTCATATCTGTATTAATATTTTTATATTATAAGTACATTTGTGTGAAAGGAATTGTTAATATTAGTATTAGTATTGCTTTATTTTTGATGCACTACCTCCTATATGTTTGTGTGTGTTTGTGTTTGAGTTACTTAGCCTAATGGTTGACTGGGAGAGAATGCCTTAAAGGATTAAGTTCGCCATATGTACGATTTTATTTTTTATGCGTAAAATTTTAAATAAATAAATAAAAAAATATCTCAGGTCACACAACAGCACTACTGTCTGACTCGTAAACCTTGACAGAAATTATAGAAAGCATACTTTAATCCTTCCTCTTTCTAATTTATGTATCCTCCCGACTGATTTAAAGTAAAGCAAGAACTTTAGATATATAATGAATATATTATTAATGATATGCTATAGATTCGTAAGTGTATTTACAAAACAACAGAGTCTGAATGGCTCTCACCCATACCTCCACCAATCTCATTTCAGGATCTTAGGACACTTAGAAGAAAGATCAAATACAACGACGTAAACAAAACGACAACCACAATACATCTTAATAACCTAGTGTAACCGTATAATATAGTACTGGTTGCAAAGTTATAATTCAGTGACCCTAAAATAAATATTTATAAGAAATAATTAACACTTAGGAATAAAGTTAATAAGTAAATTACGATAGTTCAGAGCTAGTACTCAGTGTAATAATGTGTGTTAGAACTAAATATTTATTATGTAAACTTTGAATCATTTCCAGATGTTGTGAACAAAATATACACTATGATAATAGCGCAAATCTAATTGACTAAAAATTTCTTTCGAATCTGACAGCTTACACTGACACAGACAAAGCGATAACTTCACCAGACGGACAGTCAGACAGGCAACTTTCGTATTTTTATGTAAACACTGAATCATTTCCAGCTGTTAGGAACAAAATATACACTATTTTAATAGCGGAAATCTAATTGACTTAAAATTTACTTCGAATGTGACAGCTTACACTGACACCTACAAATCGATAACTTCACTACATGAACAGTCACACAGCCTCTCGGTAGAGAGTAGTTGTGTTCTGTGCACATAGCCAACTCGCGTATATTGATACAACTTTCAACATATTCTGTTCTCTGGACAAGCAAAAATTGTTAAAGATATAAAATAAATAATACCAGATTTGTAATTTACTTTTATAAAATTTTAAGAGTATAATTTTGATCTGATGTCAAATGAATAAAAGTTACTCATTTCTATATAAATATTAATCCCAAATAACACAAAACATATTGTGTGAGAATATTCGTAAACAAATTATGTGATTTCCCTGTCCCAGTCAGATGCAGTTACCACCGTGGGCAGGGTGTAGAAAGATCCAATTAGTGACTTTCCACGGACGACGCAGCTAAAGCTACAGCCCATACCTAAGGCTTCATTTAAATCGAGTTAACGACACGTTGCATAATAAGCGCATTTTCTTTGAATAGAAACTATATTTATATACCATCACAGCAGAACTAAAAAACAGGCCGGAAAGGAGCCAGAAACGTCTAAGAAATAAAATTTACTATCACGAGTGGAAAGGTCAGCGTGAGCAAGAAGTAGCGATAACGTCACGCGAGCGCGCATCCCTCAATGTGGCAAAACAAAAGGTATCGCCTTCGACTCGCCACTGGCCGCCGGAACCGCCGTTGATAACACCAACCGGCCTTATCTCCCCTTCTTCCCCCGTCCTCCTCGCGTCTTCCCGCCGCGTCTCCGGCCACCCTGCCAACTCTTTTGTTTCACTTGTCACAAAAATTAAGCGCAATAGCTCGGCTACAAATGTCTCTTTTTTAAAGGGCCAATTTCCACCGCAACTCAGTCGATTTCGCCGCTCTTAATTAACTTTATTTCCTGTTCTCTCCGTCCCCAACTTTTGTTTTTCGGGGATTTGTCCTTTTTTATTTTGCTATTTTTTGTCTGCAGTCGCGTAATGGAAAAGATGTAGAACGAAATTTTAATGACTGGGTGCAAGTTAAGCTTTGTGCGACCGGCCATTGTATCGTGGCGCTGTCGACGCGAAGTTCGACGTTTTACGTAAGCGGACGTGTCTATTGACTGCTTTCCCTCAGACGTAAAACAAAATCATTCAAAAAGTTGAACGAAATGATTACAAGCTCTTCGTAAAAAACAATAACGATACCTGCACCAATGTAGTCGAAAAAAATAAAGGCTGACACAGGTATCGCAACTTGTCGGAAAAACTTATTTTAATACAATTTTATATAATTTGACAACTTACTTATTTTTCGATTTAGTAACTATAACTTGAAGAAAATTACAAATTACAATTACATTGATATTTTTTTAATAAAGATAAGAGAGAATAAGCATCTTGATGGACTCTTCCCAATACATTATTATGTCAGTGGGACATTTAAGGCGTGATCTGATGTTTTTTTTTTCGGATCAATAATTATTAAGTCCGTGTTTAATGATATAGAGAATTTCAACTTCTCTTCAACTTAACAAAAGCGTATTAACTTTTTCCTATGGTATAGGTTGCATATAGCTTGCGGCTGACTATTTGTCTTAGTTGGCACCCAATAATTTTTACTCATAGAACGGTCATTCTTGGTAAAGTACTTTGCAGCTCCATTAAACATAGTACAGGAATCTATCTCAGGCAAAGAATCAGCCACAAGCTACACTAAATGAAATCGCGCCCTAAGAGACGAATATTTCATATCGTAGTCATAATCGTTAATGCTCTCATCTTGTTATTTATATCTAAGCTGTCGACTATTCAGAATGTAATTATAATATTGTAAATATGAACATGTTTGCATATTTGACTGAATTTCTGAGATTTTGACCCAGAACTTTTTTGGAGAAGGGAAATCATATTTTAAGACATGTTTCGGCTTAGCTTTCCATTGACGTCCATTGAGTTTGGTATTCATACGTATTTTTACAGAAAAGTTACACTATTATAAGCACACACACAACGTTTCAACATGCGTCATTTTTGAGAAAATTTTTATTGAAAATCAATTATTATTGCAATGTTTATGTCTAATCCTACCGTAAAACTGGCGCCATTTTGTAATGTCATTGTCGTCGTCAGTAGGGATATCGATTCTTTCCGAAAAAGGTCGATTTTTAAATCGATTCAAATCGTAAGCTGATGTATCGATTCACAAAAATCGATTTCTAAAATATCACTATATTTTTCATGTTTGCATTTATAATGTAAATATAAATCCATTTTATGAAAAACAAGAAAGATACCATGATAAATGATGTCTTATTGAAATTTGTTTTATTTTAACAGTACCTATTAGGGCAGATAACAAATAAAATAGGTTAGGTTCAACTTATGTTAAAGAACCGAATTGATTGACCCCGACTCCACCTGGTACGAGTCTGCCCTACTCCTAGAGTGATTTTATAGAGCCGGAGGCGCGTAGGGGGAGCAGCCTCCGCCTGCTGTAAAAAATCCTCGCCTCCGCAGCTTCGGCTCGTCCGATGCCTGCGATTTGTTACGCTAAGACGTAGAGGCTGCTCTTCCCGCAGCGCCGGAGACGTAACTGTCTCAAAATAGATACAGAAATCCTTCTGAATCAGTCCCCTTATTTTTTATGATGAAGGGGATTTTTTTCTCATAAAATGGTTTTATATTTACATAATAAATGCAAACATGAAAAAAATATAGATATTTTAGAAATCAATTTTTTGGGAGTCGATACATCAGCTTACAATTCGAATCTATTTAAAAAATCGATCATTTTCGGAAAGAATCGACATCCCTACTGACAATAACAATAAAAAATGGCGTCAGGTTTACGGTAGGAATTGACATAAATATTGCAAAAATAGTTGATTTTCAATTTTTTTTTTATTTCAAAAAGTACGTGTCCCCGAATGTTGAAACTTTGCGTGTGTGCTTATAATAATGTAACCTTTGTGTAAAAAAATATCACTACCCAACTCGACGGACGTCAATGAAAAGTCTTACCAATTTTTCTTTTAAATTCAATCCTATTCGTTTTAAATCTTAAACAACATAAGAGGCACATTTGGCAGTTTAATTTAAAAACACCTACACTTAAAAATTTTTAATACAATATTGGCCATAAATAATATTCTTTCGGCCAATATTGGCCGATTTCTACTATTACGTTTGATTTCTGAGGTAGAATTGCAGACAGTTCCCCGATTGGTAAGAGACCCATTTCTATAATAGATAGATAGATAGATAACACTTTATTGTACGCCATAAACATATAAAAATGAATCAAAGAAAAAAAAGCAAAAGGAAATGTGGTACAATGGGCAGTCTTATCGCTAAAAACTATTTCTTCCAGACAACTTTTGGATGGACAGGATTGCAAGAGAACAATAAAAACGATTATAGTAGTTTCTTTACTTTGCTACTCGAACAACAACTGAATCACGTAATATACGACGTTTAAAATTTATTTACGAAACGTGTCTTTAAACTAGACAGATTTGGACAAGTTGGCGTGAGATGTGTAACAAACATCAGACAGCGTGTGATCGCCACTTCCGTCGGTCTGCGTCCGCGGACCACCCGCCAGATTGCTACTAAATTATTTAGCCGTTTAGCGATATTCGCCTCTGATACCAGCCGCCCGCCACCTCGATCCGACAGCCCGCAAATTGGATTCAGATTTCTGCCCACTACGAAATTGATTTGTACGTGATATTTAATAGTTTCAGCGCTTTATTGTTTTATGCCTTGTTAGTTGATTTAGTATAATATAATTTGGTAGCTGATACTATTACTAATAAATTGTTACGTCATATAATTGGAATTTGCTAGATTTCTAAATGATATGGCGCCTGACATAAAATTTTGGTCGGTTTTCAGTTTAATTAGATTATATTGTTAATAGTTTATAAAAGGTGTTTATTTGACTAAAATGAACTGTGACAACATTAGAAGCTATCCCCATACAATTTCTATAAGAGATTT